TCTTGTACATAAATTATGAAAATATGAACCAAAAACAATTTTTAAGTATAAACTAAAATTTTCTTTATTACGATGATTTAATAAAACTTACGCGCATGGACCGAAATGTAATACGTTGCTGAATAATTGAAAAATGTAAATTGAGCAAATTCAAATGCATTCTTCAAAAATTTCACTATATAATCAGTCTACACAGAAATATTTTTTAATAAAAATATTGATATAATAATAATTATAGCTAAATCAGAACCGAAAATTTATTAATGCCTTATTTATTTAGATTTAGTACTTATTAAGTATAATTTAGTAACGAGCAACTTAAGCTACTACACTGGTGGCACTTTAATAATAATGCTTTTAAATTTCAAGGCATTACATGAGAAGGTTTTACATGAGAACATGTTAAATCTTCCTCTTTAAAAATAAATTTATATTTCGATTCATTTCGCTTTTCAAATGAAAAAAATTTGTTTGAAAAATTTCTAAAATTCAAATATTCTCGATATTACGTTCTAGTATTGTAGTTTCAAGCTTCAAATTAACATTCTAATATTTTCAGCTTCTTTTCGAAGGAATTTTTATTATTTTTCAATTTATTCTGTTAAATATTTAAAATTAGTTTTTCTTAACACTTTTAACGTACAAAGGTTTTGTTATACTATAAGTATATTTATTATTTATGAACCGATATTTTTTATGTTAAACAATGTATCAGTAATTCCTTAAATATTTGTAGAATAAGCAATTACAAAATTTTAAATTTTTAAGTTGTCGAATTTTTTATTACAACAAAAATTGTTTGTAAAATATTGCATATATTCAGGAGACACTTATACATTCTTGAATTTAATGTTTCTAGCTTAAAGTTATTCAAAAAATTAAATTGAATTTGAATTTCTTTAGATTACAAAGAATTATTTTTTGTTTGCAAAAGATTTGTAATCTATGTTAGTATGTCCTAAATACGAGTTTGTTTTTGTTTTTTGAATTTGAGGGAAAATGTAAACCATAACGTGAATAATTTTGGCCTAAATATAAATCATATAATAACCCAAATTCTTACCATAAGATTTACTAAACATTTCTTTTACAAATCAAAAATCGAATTGATCTTCATTAAAAATTATAGAAAGAATAAATTTGGTATAGAAAGAATAAATCTTTTTATACCAAAACTGTTAATTTCTTTAAAATTTTCTTTTATTCCACGAGCATATTCCGAACAGGAAACAATCTATTCAAAACGCCATCAAATACAAAATTGACATCTTTGTTTCACAATATGTTGTATATAAAATAAATGTATGTATATAAGTACATATACAAATTCATACATATAAAAATTTAATATTTGTTTATCTAAAAATAGTTAACTTTGCCGATTCTACGTTGGTTGAATTAATTTTTAAAAATATCATAAAGTATACACGAATATAAAAATATTCTAAATAAAGAATAAAATTTAAATATTATATAAATTTTATATGTGTACATACATACGTACATAAAATTTATATAAACACGCTTACTTACATGCAAAAAAACATAGAAGCCGTTTGAATAAAAATAGCCACTTCTTTAAGAGATTGGTGAATGCCATCAATTTTTATTTGCATATTCAAAATGATAATGTCGTAAATCATCATAATTTTTTATTCACATAAAATACAATTAACTACAACAATGTCATTATATGTGTTTAAGAAACGAAATAACAAAATGGTTGCTTTTCGAATGCAAATTAAATTTTAAAAAATTTTTCTCCCTGTTTTCTTTTTTTTTAATAAATTATACACAATACTGAATCTATTGAACAAAACAAACGCTAGAAATAAATTAATAAAAAATTGATTGAGATAAAATCAAAATTTAATTTGTGTCAAAGAATTTTTATTTTTTGACAGAAAAAACAAATTTTTTTTGTAAAAGAATTAAGAGTATTGTCAATTAATAATTTTAAATCTACTCAAATTGAGTGACAAATGATATTTTTATTATCGCCAACTGGTTCTTATAACTTAACACAATTTTAAATAAAAAAATGTTAGTGAATTTCAGAGAATTTATTTAATTGTAATAATTGTTGGGAAAGTATGCAGAGACATTGTCTTCTACAAAAAAGAGTTCTATTAAGAATTTTATAAAACTTTGAGATTTTCCTCTTTATCTTAAGGCACGTTTAAAGTTTTTCTTAGTGAAAGAAAAGTTCATACAACAATTGTCTCTCATTTTATATTAATTTCAATAATAATATCGTAATAATTTTACTTGCTGAATAAGTCAAGTTAACGTAAGGTTTGCAATTTGGCAGATATCTTATGTTTGTCTGTTTTATACTTTATTATTTAAATACCTTTTGTTTTCTCTAAATTAATCCTCTTCTATATATTTAATATTTTTACAAGTATTTCCATTACTTTAATTATTTTAACATATTAATTACTTAAAGGCTACTACACAAAGGTTTAAAAAACGGAAATTCTAAATAAAAAAAAAAAACAGTCGAATTATGTGGCAAGCAAACAATTAAATCATTAATTAAAATCAAAACAAATTGACACTTCGTGTGTCATAACGAAAACAATGGAATGACACCAACGATAATAAAAAACAAATACAAATTACCAAATTTGTATGCAATTTGAGTTCTTCCCGAATAAAATGATTCTTACGTGATAACTTCAATAATTATTTTTAACCAATAAATTTAACAAAATTCATAAGAACAAAAAATAATTGTCAGAATATGTTTTGGAAATTCTTAAAATTATTTTATTATCAAAAAATAAAAAAAATAAAGTGTTATTGTGCAGTGTACAAAAACTTCTTTAATTTACACAGGCTTTTTAAGATCCAAAAAGTTTTCTAAATCAAAAAGTTTTTGGAATGTTTTCGGATAAACAGTAAATTGTAAAAAATGAAGAATACTACTAATATAGAAAGAAGAATATGTATATATAAGTTTCTGCAATTAAAAATAAATATTGAATGTTCTGATTTATCTGCTACTCACTTAATTTATTCCAACACATCACATAATCAAAATAACAAAACTCTTAAAAAATCTTTAAGAAAAAATCACCCAGTACATTTCTTGTTCTTCAATTTTTAGAAGGTGGAAAAACCCATAAACAAGTGTTAAAAGGAAAGAACTTTTGATTTGACATAGTCACTGCTGATGTTCATCAAATTAATGACTTTTTTTTTCGTTCTTATATTATAAATTTTATGTCACTATTGTTTTCAAATCGCACATTGAGCCATATAGCACCTAAAAAATAGCACTGCGATATTACAAAAATTACAAATTAAAATCAGATATAAAATCGCTTATATTGAAGATAATTTAGTGAAAGCAAAAATTCTGTAGCCCAAAGTTATAGGCAGAATTCTTTTAGCAACTTTGAATTTGTTTAAAAAGTAGAATTAATGGCGTAATAAAAATTAATCAAGCAAATTATTTTATAAAACTACAAGGATTATCACGCATATTTTTCGACTTACCCAAAAAAAATTATGTCGAAGAGCACTTTCAACATTAGGCCTTTTCATGAACAGAGTTTATCGCGATACATGCATGTATAGTCAAAATCGTGCTATACAAATCAAGTTTGTTTATAAATATTAAATTATCAGCAACATAGTAAAATTGTTATGGAAGTAGTACAGTTAAATCGCATGAACTGTTTTACTTTTATAGAATTGTCAAAAATATATATTTGACATATTCATCTCGTTATGTTTTTGTAATATTACGTTAAAGCCCATAATTTTATTTTTTACGATATTTCATGTTAGTATTATTTTATAGGTGCTACAGCTGGCAATTTATTATTTATTAATCACGAACTTCTTAAACAATAAATTTCATTTAAACTAGCAACACCACTTTGTTAAAAAAGTAGAAAGGTGCTAAATAAATAAAGTAAATGTACTAAAAAACCAAACTTGACCACTTGAATTTAACATTGAGTTGTAATTGAAATCTCGCTTCCGAAATGTCTGAAATTAGATTGCTCTCGTTAAAATTCTTATTCACACCAAAGTATTTTTTCTTCATTCTGTGTAAATTATGACATATGTGATTTAAAATCCTCTTCGGGTTTTGGATGAATTTTTATGTTCCCAAATAAATTTCATGTTTTCCTACAAAAAAACTAATATTAACCTACATTAATCGTACCTACATAATTACATAATTGACAGATAGACAATAAAGAATAGATAATGTTGTAAGTTCTTAGATGGACATTTAATTTTCAATACATACAAATGCCAACACATTTTGAATTCTAATGCCTAGTGAGTATGTCTGAAGCTTATTGTTTGTGTTGTAATATCGAATTTACATAAGTGTACATACTAATTTTATTATTGTACTTTAAATTTGTAATAATTATAAACCCGGTCAGATATGCTTGTACCATTTCTGAATTTATTATTATCAATAAACCTTGATCAATGACCTTCGCACATTATTTGTGCGACGAAAAAACTATAGTAAATTAAACAATTCCACTCCTTAATATCACTCACAATTACACACGTTTGCTTACGTATGTCAATATAAAGTTCATTACACTATTGTTACCCAATTTAGTTAAGTAAACTGTATTTCAAGCAACATTCTTTTTATTCTATTGAAAATTTTTAATTTAATTTAATTTAAATTTAATGTGATTCTTTTCATAAATCATACAAACAATATTATACAAAATTTTATTTTTAATTTAAAATTTTTTTCAATCTACTCCCGCATTTTACATGTATAGCTTTAACGTAATTTTATAATCCCAACCAATTAACGAAAATTGTAAAAATTATTCATTCAAACAAACTGATTGATTTTAAGCAAACAAAAAATCAAGTCTATTGTCAATAAAATTCACATTGTGTTTATACAAATAATGTTCATTAAATTTTTAAAATATTTTTCATCTAAATATTTAAATTACTATATACAAGTCTAAAATTATTTGTATTTTTTTTGCTATTTACAGATTTCAAATGTAACAAAACCAATGTCATTTGCTGATCGTTCTGAAATAATTGCAGGAAATAAATTCTCTCCAACGAAATTCAATCGTAATGCATCAACACAACATCATCACGATATTAAATTAACGCGAACATCATCAAAAAATATAACAGTTGAAGAGAAATTTAAATCTCGAATTAGCAATGATTCAGTTTTAGAACAACACTTAAGAGCACATCAAGAAAAATTACAAAAACAATTAGAAAAACGTCAACAACAGCAACAATCAAAACCAATAACATCACATGAGAATGATAATCATCATTTAGATTACCATATTAATCAATTGAATCATCACATCAATCAAAATCGTCGTAAAAACGAGGGCGAATACGACGACGACAATACCACCGATATAGGACTAAATCTTAACAATAATAATCAGCAAATATTAGAAGAAACAATGGGAACGTTAAATAAATCTTCAAAGACTAGTAGTGGCAATAATCATAACAGTTCAAATAGTCCTAATAGTATCAATAATAACTATCAATATCAAAATGATAATCAAATTTTTACAATAACTTCAATTAATAATAACAATAATAGTAATAATGACAGTAATTCTAATAACAATAAAATAACATCATCTCATATAAATAGAACCCATTCAATAACAAATGGTAAAACATCATCATCAATAAATCATCAAAATAATCAGCAAATTTTTCATCAGCCATTACAAGCAACATCTTCAGCAGCTAGTAATACACAAAGTACCATAAATGATACAACAACAACAACTGCAACAACACATGTATTAGATAATAATAATTATAGCAATAATGGTGAATCTACCATTAATAATTTTCATCATCATCATCTTAATCATCATCATCATAATTATGCAAATACAACAACAACAAATAAATCAAGTAATGGTAGTATTGATAAGGCTGGTTCAACAGCAAAATTGATACCTGTTGCAGATGATCAACCAAGCACACAGGTAGGTTTTCTTATTATAATACTTTGATATACGTATATTTACATATACAAATACATATACATATGTAATTGATTAGTATTTTCTCAAATGTTTTACAAATAATTTTGGGATATGAATTTTTAGTGTCGCTCAATAATCAATGAAATATTTTACGTACCTTGCTTATCGCAAAATCTTCCTAAAAATTTTTGTAAAATGAAACATGAATTCAGCTACCACTTGAAAGCATTAAAACTGGATGAGTTTTGAATAATTCAAAATTTTACGTACCTTTAAATAGCCGTGTTTTTAATTACATCAATAGTTGCTCTGCTGTTCATTTTTTTCGACTACCCTTTATAAGAATTTATCTATTTTCTCAATTCAAATTCACATACATACATAAGAATTATTTGAATTCATATAATATTCAAGTCAGATGCCTAATACTAAATCTAATTGTAAAATTTGAAATCTATTTCCTTAAAACTGTCAGAAAAATTATAAATTCGAAACTTCAAAATTTAATAATTTCAAAAACGATTCTAAAATATTTGTTGGGAACATAATAATTAAAATACAAGACAAATAATTCTTCCTTATTTAATAATTTACAATAAATTGAATGCAAGGAAAATAAAATTTAAAAGTATAATGGCCACATGCGGTTTAAGGAAATTTATGCGTCCAACAAATTCGGAAACTTCAATGGAAAGAGCAGAGAAAGATTATAAGAAATTTCGGAAAAATGTGCTTAAAACAAAAAAATCTAGTGGATATACACAATCACCACAAGTAGAAGTACTTTCATATTTCAAAATTAAAAAATTCCAAGATGACCTAGTAAAATTTAATGACATTTTAAAGGATAATTTAAATCTATTGTACCGAATCAATTACATACAAAGAACTCATGGTAAAGTAGATCATATTTTAAAATATTCTAAACCTAAACCATCTAAAACTAAAATTTGGCTGGAGGAAAAAAGTTTCATTGAGAAACAGAATAAAAGAATCGCAAAATTCATTTTAAACGCTTCGCCCAAAGTAGAAACAACTAAAGAACTAGAAAAATTTTGGCATCGTATGCGCCAAGAAATAAAATGTAGAAGTAAATATCCATTAATATTGCCAGGTCTAATTAGATCTAAAGAATTTGAAATAGCTGCTAAGCATAATCGGCCTCTAGTCTATTTGGATGTTGGGAAAAAAAATTTCAATCCATTGGGTCGTTTAATAATAATGTTATATATTGAATATTGTCCGAAAACTGTTGAAAAATTTATTGATATATGTGAAAATCATCGCAATTGGCCACACAATCAGTGTACACCGAAAGAAAAAAGAATTTGTCTTAAAGGAACAGTTTTTACTAAAATTTTTCCTGGTTTATATTTTGAAGGTGGCGATTTATTTGATTTTGATGAAGAAAATTTTGATTATCCAGAAAATTTTTCAGTCGACCATAATCACAAAGGTACACTTTCCATGATGCCAATCAAAGATAATATGGTTGGTACAAGATTCACAATAAGTTTCAAACCGATACCATTTTTGAATGGTAAACGTTGTGCTTTTGGTAAAATTATTAAAGGTGAACACATTCTAGATGTAATCGAAAGTTATGGCACAAAAAATGGAAAGCCCAAATTTTATGTTGAAATAATTAACTGTGGAATATTGAAATTATAAAAATTCACCTAAGCATAATTGTCAATGAATTCTTCAACACACATATTATATGAGTTGATTATTGGAAATGGTATAAATTAAATTTTACTGCTAAAATTCGTGAACGTATAAAAATAAATGAATTTACAATTTTGTAGATTACATCTAAATCTCAAGATAAAATATAAGATACCCTTTCAACAATAATTAGTTTATCGTTTATTTATATATATATATATTTATATTATATATATATATATATATATATATATGTAGGATTAAAAATATGACTCTTTAAGCTATTTAGTAAAGTTAGAAAAAAATAAATTTTAAAAACCACATTTGGTTTACGTCACGAGTGGGTTATTCTCGATTGGGAATATTTTATAAACAAAATTTTAATTATTCTGTCATATACTCAGAAATATTATATTATTATATTTTACGATAAAGATTAAAATTTTTAAAGTACATAGTTAATAACAGAAGTTTCATGCTAGTGTTATAATATAATAACAAGAACGTGATCTTTAATCATATTGTTCCAAGTAATTAATTTTTTTTACACTAATACTTTGAAAATATTAAATTACAACCATTTTTGATAGAGCATTTTATCATTTTACATAGTTCGAGCGCATACAATATTATTCCTCTTCATATTACGCCGAGATACTCGTAATATTCTGTAAAATTCTGTTCTTCTGATAAATTTGAATGAATAAAATTTACTCTTACATTTGATTTTTATTAAATAAAAGCAGAAATATTTTTTAATAAAAAAAAAATATTTACGTCTTATACTTTACGAAAATATTAGTTCATAATTTTCCAGTAAGAACATACGTAGATGCCACATAGATCCCTTAATTTATAATACTTGGAATTTTTTCATTAAATATCGTCGCCCTAAACCACATTTTGCCTACTTTCAAATTAACATTTTCGAGAAAAATGCATTTAAAGTTAAAACGGTTTATTAGAAATTTTTCGAAATCACATCATCACGTAATTTTGAAATTAATTTTTTTTGAAAACTCATTTTAATTACGGAGACTTTGCCATACAATTACAAATTGCCATACATGTATTTGATTTTTAAAAATTTTTCAATATTTGCATATTGTACAACCATAATGAAGAAGGTATGTACACCAAAATTGATTCCTTGTGGCAATCTCGAGAACTAAATCACTAATATATTTAATTGTAATTAAGCATTTCGTAAAACTTGAGGTCCTATTTACAACTCCAAAAAGACCAACAATATGCAAAAACCTTAATTTGAATCAAATATTTTTTATAAAATTTAAATGTTTTTTCATTAACAGTTTACTTGTGAAAAGTATAAGTAAAAAAATTACAAAACTTTATTTTGTAACATGTTTTTCTTCCACTTTAAATGAAAATCAAACATACCCACTATTAATTTACAAATTAATATTGGATTTTATAACCCCAGAAAAGTACCCCCTTTCCATATTTTGATTTCTCGATTTTTTTTTATCAAAAGTTCATTATCGCTTTTATTATCGTAAAAGAAAGAAGAAGTAAAAAATCAGTAGACCGGTCACATTTAATTGTGGCACATAGATCATCAAATCTTTAAATTCTCATAGTGCTAAAAAATAATTATTAACGCTAATTGTTAGCTAGGTACAAATAATAATAGCAAACAAAGTTCGTGCTAAAATCACATTTATTTTTATTTATTCGCAAAATGTGAACACTAAAAATGTAAGACATTCAATGTTATATGATATCCAAAGCAATTAAAAAAGAAAACACATGAATTTAACGTGCTTTTTTTCGCGTATTTTACATATAATCACTTACATAACATTTCTATATTTTCCTTTAAAAATGAAAATCTAGTAAATTTTAAATTGATTTTGTTAACTTTGGGGTACGAAATAAATTCGACCTGGAATAAAATACTAATAAAGTCTCTCTATGATTTCTCTAAACTTTCTTTAAAAGATTTTCACATTTAATTTGATAACTATCGTATATACATAATGTTTTAAATTAATCGTTAAATCAAAAACTCTGGACAAATTCTCTTTAGACCGTTCAACAACTGTTAGAATGCAATGAAAAATTTGACTAAAAAGAACAAATCGCCATATAAACCTTTAGAAAATAAAAATATCATTTATCTTTTTTTTTATTTAATTTCTCATTAAAATGTCAAACAAAATAACATAGAAGGTGTTGTGTCGAACATAATTTGAGCACAATTGAGCGTTTTATTCGAAGTGTTAAAAAATTTCTCTAAGTTACAAATTTTCCACAAATATTATGCTACAATGAGAGGAACAAATTGCTCTCTTGTCAAAAATTTAAGGGAAATGACAATCAAATACAAAATGGACAATATTATAACCACGATATACCGTAAATGTTACAAACGGAATGTCAAATTTTGAGTAAAGCTTCAAATACGTGCTATTTGTACAAGTATATAAGTAAAACGTAATTTGGTGCGTATAAAAATTTTTCAGGTTTACCATATTAACATGCAATGTATATTTCTACCATTAAATGATCTTATACAAAGATGTTCAGTATATTGTTATGAAAATCAAAGTAACTTGAATGGAATAGTGAAAGTTCTATATACGTAAGCGTATGTTATAAGTTATGAAACAAATGTTAAAGCACGCATTCTGTTCCACAGCTGACTGACTTTTTATTGTTAATTTGTTTTCTTTCTGTGTCCAATTTTTTATATTATATTTTAAAATTTATTTTATTTGCTTAACAAAAATTATAAAATTTTATTAATAACAATCTTAAATTTTGATAGTAAAACAGTTGCCAAAAATATACAAACTACGAATTCGAATTAAAGAATAAACATGCCTAAAATTTAGGCATGTTTAAAGCATGTTTCTATAATTTTTGAGATTATGACATTTAAGTTAGGGCCAAGAAATCCCTAAAATTTTAAAATTGGATAAATCTTGAGGTTTTAAAACTTCATTCGAGTTATTTAAAAAAAAAAAAACAAGTTAGTTTTTGACATAAAGTGGAAAGGTAAATTTTCAATAATTTTAATCCAATATCAGAGATTTGGACTTCTTAATTTGTCTATACTTAAATTTCGATTAAATATGATTTTAGGATTTTCTTAAAAAGTTAAATATTATAATGTTAATTTCCAATTTGACATTCTTATTCAATAAAAAATTGCACATAATTAAGATATTTAAGAAATAGACTCAAAAACCATTACTAAATCCACCATAAACGATTTGATTCACAACAAATGACCCGCATACAGATAAATTTTCTTCGTATTTCGTACACATTTAAATTAGCCTATTCCTCTAAATTTCTATATACAT